ACAGAAATTCAAAAATTTGTATAAATATACTATTGGGGACGACAATTTACCATTTGGTCAGAATAGCCAAAATCATGGGTCATAGTCCACATAAATTCGAAAATTTTGAAGCACCCGCAAACATTCTATACTTAACAACATGTGATTTGGTTGAAAATTGCTAACATCATAGGTTATAGTCCACGATATTCAAAATTTTTTGAGTACGTATAAAATATTCTATGCGAGAAATAAATTTGCGATTTGGTTGAAACTTACTAAAATTATAGGTTAAAGTCCACAGAAATTAAGAAATTTTTAGTATGCATAAAATAATCTTTGCAGAACCATAATTTGTGATTTAGTCATAAATAACCAAAATCATGAGTTATAATCCAAACAAAATTGGGAATTTCTAAGTATATTCATCATGTATTCTATATGTGACGTCAATTTGTTATTTAGCCCAAATCGGCCAGAACCATAGATTATAACCTACAAAAATTTAGAAATTTCAAATACGCATAAATATTCTATGTGAAACGATTCAGTCGAAAAAGATGAAAATCATTCGTTATAGTGCACATAGATTATGGCCTATAAAATTTAGAAATTTCAAATATGCCTAAAAATTCTATGTGGAACGATAATTTGTGATTCAGTAAAAAAAAATAAAAACCATTCGTTATAGTGCACATAAAATTCAAAATTTTAGAGTATGCATAAAACAATTTTCTACCGGAAGCATCTTGTGAATCAGTTGAAAAGACCAATACAATAGATTTACTTTGAAGTATGCATAAAGTAAGGGGCGTGACAGCTTGTGATTTTGTAGAAAATAGCCACAATCATGGGTGATAGCCCAAAAATAAGGAAATTTTGGAGTATTATAATATATTTTATGTGGGATGGTAATTTGTGATTGGTCAAAATGGAAAAATCATGGGTTATAATCAACATAAATTAGGGAATTTTAGAGAACACATAAAATACTCTATGTAGGTAGGCCATTTGTGATGGCAACTTGTGATTTGGATGAAAACAACCAAAATCATGAGTTATATTCAACAGAAAGTCGAGAAATTTAGAGTATGCATAAAATATTTTATGTAGGACACATGACTAAGTCCAAAACAACCAAAATCATCACGAATAAAATATTTTAATAGAGGCGCGACCTTATGATTTGGTAAAAAAATAACCACGATCATAGCTTATAGTCCTCATAAATTTGTAAATTTTGAAATAGATATAAAACATTTTATTTGGAAAGGGAATTTGTGATTTGGTTGAAAACAATCAAAATCATGAGTTATAGTTCACAGAAATTCAAAAATTTGTATAAATATACTATTTGGGACGACAATTTGCCATTTGGTCAGAATAGCCAAAATCATGGGTCATAGTCCACATAAATTCGAAAATTTTGAAGCACCCGCAAACATTCTATACTTAACATGTGATTTAGTTGAAAATTGCTAACATCATAGGTTATAGTCCACGATATTCAAAATTTTTTGAGTACGTATAAAATATTCTACGCGAGAAGAAAATTTGTGATTTGGTTGAAACTTACTAAAATTATAGGTTAAAGTCCATAGAAATTAAGAAATTTTTAGTATGCATAAAATAATCTTTGCAGAACCATTATTTGTGATTTGGTCATAAATAACCAAAATCACGAGTTATAGTCCACAAATTTGGGAATATCTAAGTACGCATCACAGCTTCTACATGTGACGACAATTTGTGATTTTGCCAAAATTAGCCAAAATAATGGGTTATAATCCGCAAGAAATTTCGGAGTACACATAAAAATTCTATGCGGAACAACATCTTGTGATTTGAAATGGTGAATATCATTCATTATAGTGCACATAAAATTCAAGAATTTTGGCGTGTGCATGAAACATGCATACAAGAACATGAGATTTGGTCAAAAACAACCAAAAATCATAGTTGTCCATAGAAATACGATAATTTCATAATACACATCTATTCCTTTATACAAACAGGAGAATCAGATAATCCTATTTATGCTACAGTAAATTCAACAGTAAAATAATTACTGTGGTATAAACAGTAGCTTTATTACTGTAGCAACTGGAACACTAGTATTTTCAAAAATGTAAGATACTGTGCCTATTCAATGAACTCATGATTGTTGTTACGAACAGTTGCACTGTTACTGTAGCACACGGGAATACTGTAGCACTTTCAAAATACGAGATACTGTGGTAATTCAAAAACTTACTGTAGCATTTAAGAAACATGATTGCTGTCGTATGAAAAAATTTATCGTCGTGCTTTGCACGGACCGCAAACTAGTAAAATACTATGCAAGAAGAGACTCTGTGAATTCATCAAAAGCGAATAAAATCATGGGGCACAGTCAAGAGAAATTCCAATATTTCGCATTAAGCATAAGATATTCTATGTAGAACGAGAATTTGTGATTTGGTCGAAAACTCTACAATAATGGGTTATAATCCAAGAGAAATTTGGGACTATTCGATTACCCACACCTATTCTATGCGGGCCAACTTGTGATTTGGTTTAAAATGGCCAAAATCATGGACTACAATCCATCGAAATTTAGATATTTTGAAGTACATATAAAATACTTTTGTGAGACAACAATTTTTGTGATTTGGTAGAAAATGGACAAAATCATGCGTTGTTGTCCACTAAACTTCAAAAACTTTTGAGTATGCATAGTATATTCTATGTGAAAAGATAATTTGTGATTTGGTTGAAAATGATCAAAATAATGAGTTATAGTTTATTAATATACTGCAGAGTACTCATAAAACATTCTATGCCGGAAGACAGTATGTGATATGATTGAAAACGACCACAACCACATTATACTTCACAGAGATTCATGAAACTTTGGAGTATGTATAAAATATTCTATGCGAGCCAAACAAATTTGTGATTTGTTCGAAAATGTCATAGATTATAGTTAAGAAAAAAAATCTGAGTCTTTTTGGGTACGCATAAAATATCTATGAAGAATGACAATTTGTGATGCTGTCGAAAACGACCAAAATTATGGATTAGTTCATTGAAATTAAAAAAAATTCTACATGAGATGGCAACTCATGATGTGGTCGAAAACGGTCAAAATCATGGATTGTAGTCAAAAGAAAATTGGAAATTTTCTAGTACACTAAATATTCTAATTCTATAAACTAAAGAATCAACAGTTCAACCTAGTAACAAGAGTTTGCAGCTTGTGGACTGCAGATTTCTCAAACTCTAATGCAAGTTCTTTATCAAGGCCCTAAGATACCAAGCCTCCTAATTGTGTTCAATGATCATCCATCATACTACACATGTGGCTTATAAGATGTGCATGCATCACAAAACGTTCCTACCTCAGGGGAAGATGAATGGTTCGAGAAGAGTAGAAAAAGAAGAGAACTAATGAGCTTTAACATAATTCCATGGCATTTAATGTCACATATCATAAGATGGCCAACATGTGATTTCAGTTCACCATTATAATCCATAAATGGATGGACCATACACCTTTAACAAAAGGTAAATATGGTAAATATGGCAGGTTTATTAATAAATTATCGTGAAAAACATAATTATCAAGTGCTACACAGAAGAACAAGTCACAGGTCAAAGGTTAGAGACAAAAAAACATAATTTTATTTCCATGAAAACACGAACACCTCCACATTCAATTCATGAGAAGTTGGAAATTGGTATCAAGATATACACTTTATCAGACTGTAGAAAATTGTTTATTCTCCAAAGCACTAGAAACAATGTAAGGATCTTTCAGCAAAGCACCAATAAGTAAACTTTTGTATTATTAAGGTAGCCAGGTTCTATTCAAGCTCAAGAGTAATAAGCATGAAACATTTGTATTATTAAGGTAGCCAGGTAGCTCAAGAGTCTAAAGCACCAATAAGTAAACTTTTGTATTATTAAGGTAGCCAGGTTCTATTCAAGCTCAAGAGTAATAAGCATGAAACATTTTGACAAGGAGAGCAGAAAAGACTTATGTGGCTGTCTGGAAAAACTAAACTGCTCCATAAGTGGCAGCATGAAAGTGCCTTAACAATCAAATAATCAGAAGCCACAAACACAAATGTTTTAAAGCCATGTGTTCTGTATAAATGGAAGGGCCAATTGAACTGTCTCATTAATCCTCACAAGTAAGTTGCCCTGTTTATGCACAAGGATGACCACCAAGGTTCTTTAGACTACCTAACAGAATGATGGAATGTTAGCTTTGACTAGAAAGCTAACAGTCAAAAAAAGTAAAATTGTGGCATGCGATGAGAAGGCAAAATGCGCATCCCAAGAGTTTAACATAGTTAACATGAAATGAGATGAATTTCTTCCAGCCAATTTGGAAGTTAAGATCTATATATGCATCCCCCAATTAACTCTAATGAGAAATATCTCAGGGAGCTCCACAAGTTGGTGTCTGGAAGATAGAAGGACTTCCATGCATGCGAATGTGCAAATTAGCTAATTCGAAATGGATGCGTCATTGTGTGGAGGTATTGCAAGTCAAGAAGATAGACGGATGCTAAAAGAACATCACCTCAATGCACCTACCAGCTTGAGAAGAAGGCACCATTGAAAACAACTTATCCATGGTTTCACCGCCTAAGGAACTATTATCACTTTGACTAACTAGTCAGATATTAAATGATGTGAGGCGGAAGTTCTACAACAATAACTTTAGGTCCAGACTAAAGAGGACTAACTTCCAAGATAATTTTTTAGTCTTCTCCACGAAGCCTCGATAAACATCATTTCCATAGTAATCCAAGATTTGTATATCGATATTCTGCGGAAACATGACTTCTTGAGTTGGTCATAACTCAATGGTTCTTTATATTGGTCAGGGAAGTTATAAATAGCATCATTCTTACATGGGTACTATGCCTGATTCTAAAGCTCTGATCTTAATGCAGTGAACTTGCTTTCCATTTATCATCATGAAGCTACTAACCAAAGTTAATAAAAAACATTAAAATAAACTCCAAACGGAACACAACACAATTCCTCAAGACATCAATATTGCGTTGAAATTAAATAGAAAAAGACGAATGTAACTCCCACTAAATAACGCCGCTAGGATGAACATCAAACAACAAGCGATTATTGAGCTAACCGTTTCTTGCAGCATACAGATAGATTAGCATCCAACACCTCTGTTCCCTAACAAAGAAGCAATTAGAAGGGGAAAAAAAAGAATCATCCTTTATTACCTTTCGCCTACGGGCTCGATCCCTCATCCTTCCCTTTCCCCTCCTTCTCCCCACCCTCGACCGCGTCCGAAACCAGCGCAATCGGCCGGTGCTCAATGACCTCGTCCACAATCCCAAACTCCTTGGCCTCGTCGGGCGACATAAACAGGTCCCTCTCCATGCACCCCTCGATCCTCTCCAGGCTCTGCCCCGTGTGCTTGGCGTATATGGCGTTCAGCCTCTCCCTCACCTTGAGGATCTCCTTGGCGTGGATGGCGATGTCGGTCGCCTGCCCGGTGGCGCCCCCGGACGGCTGGTGGATCATGACCCTGGCGTTGGGGAGGGAGGCGGCTCGCCGGGCGGGCCGGCGGCGAGGAGGAGGGAGCCCATGGAGGCGGCCTGGCCGACGCAGAGGTGGAGACGGGGAGCGGATGTACTGCATGGTGTCGTAGATGGCGAGGCCGGCGTGACGGCGCCGCGCGGCGAGTTGATGTAGAGGGGAGAGGGGCTTGGAGCGGGTTCTCCGACTCGAGGAAGAGGAGCTGGGCCACGACGACGGCGGCCGTGTCGTCGGAGACTGGGGCCGTTGATGCAGACCACGCGCTCCTTCGGAGCCGAGAGAAGATGTCGTAGGCCCGCTCCCCCGGGAGGTGTGCTCGATCACCATCGGATCAGGCCGTAGGACGCGATAGGCGCGGCGGCGGCGGGAGGAGCGAGCGCGGGGGAGGAGCGATGAAGAGGAGGCGAGCATGGCCGGCGTTAGGGTTAGGGTTAGGGTTTGGGAGGGGAGAGGGACGCTGGGGGGTGATGGGAATGGGAGACTCGACTGTGAGTCTCAACTTCGGTTCGGGTTCGGGTTCGGGTTCGGGCTGCCACCCAAAGAAAATACTGTTAATAAAAAATTAAAATTAAAATTAAAATTAAAATTGAAATTAATATTTTCAGAAGGTTAAAATTAAAATTGAAGAACCCGCTGAAAATCTCCCAAACCAAGCGATGGGGCGACCCCTGATCAAAGAGTTTCGAGCCGAGAAGGTCATTTGACGTCCTCTGCTGACTTTCTCTTTGCTAGAGCTTAATGGTTCTTTCTAAATCTTTTTTTTTTGGGTTTGCAGCTATCAGACCGAGGTGTTCGAGGTGGCCAGGGAGAGGAGCACCGTTCGTGCTCGACACGGGGACGGGGAAGACCGATGATTGCCGTTATGTTGATCAGAGAAACTGGGAGGAGAGCGAAGGAAAGTGCCACCGTTTACCTCGTGCACCAGGTGAAGTGTGTAATGTATGTATATATTGGGAGATGGGTTTGTCGAGAAATTGATGCCACGGTTTGTTTCTCGGCAATTCGAGGTGCTTAGAGATTACACAGAGCTCATTGTGGTCGAGTACTACGGCGAGAGTAGGATCTATGAGTGGACTGATAGTTGGTGGAAGAAGGAGATGAGCACCAACGAGGTAACGATTTGTATGCTTAATGATTTGGATAAATGCTGTGTTTGAGGATGTATGCTTAATGATTTGGATGGAAACATCATCTATTTTGGTTTCAAATAGAAAGTTGGTAACAAAATCATCTGCAATTGCATAAATAGAATTATAGATGACGTTATGTAGTTATTCCCCAGTTTAAATATATTTTTAATCATCTCTCATAAACATTGCAATTTGGTAAGTAGTCGAGGAAAGAATTAACTGGCAAGGGTCCATAATTGGTTGTACATTTAGTCAAAATCTGGCTTCTGAATTTCCTACTGTAATGATTTACTGACTATCAAATTTTATTGCATCCCCACAGATTTTAAAGAACACATAGATACAAATTATGGTTCCGTGGGAGGAACTAAAATGGGATTTATATCTCCGAAGTTGAATGAACTGGTTCAAAATTTTCTATCATTCAGGTCTTATTGTGTTCCGTGGAAGGAACTAAAATTTTCGGTCTCATACTTGACCGGAGGAAATTCATCTAAAGATGCACTCACTGCAAAAGTGCGGAGAACCACACTGAATATGTTCCGTTCTGGAAAGGTAGTACAAGAGATTTATAAAATTTAACCATTTGCCATTAATATCATGCACTTTTCTTAATAGACTTTGCCGTCTGCTTTTCAGGTGAACTTTATGTTCACTACAGATGTTGCTGAAGAAGGGATTCATGTACGCAATTGTTCTTTTGTGATACGTTTTGATTTACCAAAAACAGTTCGTAGTTATGTCCAATCCCGTGGCAGAGCAAGGCATCATGATTCCCAGTATATCCTTATGATTGAAAGGTATGCTTTTCTGGTTTCCAGAACTTGATTTTTTTGGCTTTCTCAGCAATACGTGTCATGGGCCCGGGAGCCTGCTGGCGCGATATAAGCCGTGGGACCCACTGAATGGAACACGTTGTATGGCTAAATCCACTGCCAAATAGTGCTAGCATTTGCTACACCTGAGCATTGGGCATATCTTAAGCCACCCAAACATTTCACACTTTCGCGATATGGGACTGAACACTTGGGGGTCTCACAATCTTAAGTTGGCATTTTTTTTACAATAAAATGATATTTCGGCATCAATATTTTATTTTATTCCTCCTCCTTTGTGATTTTGGAGATTAATTCTGCTTACATGTGTCATTTGTACATGGACTACTGAAGGGGAAATGCTGACCAAATAGATCAATTATTTGGTATCATTCGAAGTGAGCTTTTTCTGAAATGTCCTTGTTCACCTAGAGACCCTCTTTGTTTCACACCTAAAGTATTCTGTGAAGAATTAAATGCGTATGTCGTAGAATCAACTGGAGCAACTGTTACAGCTGACTCGAGCATTAGCCTTATCTACAAGTACTGTGAAAAACTTCCAGGAGATAGGTAAGATCACACTATTTTCTTCTAGCAGTAATGTTCCTGCTTCTTGCACTCAGAATGCAGATAACTTTTGATTTCATTATCTAGTTCATTTAACTTTTGATTTCATTATCTAGTTCATTTTTGAATACACCTTTCTCAGGTTCTTTATACCACAACCAACATTTCAAGTACATCTAAAAGATGGCTTATATGAGTGTGTCTTGACTTTACCTCCAAATGCTGTTTTTCGAAGGATAGTAGGTCCTCCAAGCATCAATGCTCATGTAGCAAAGCAGTTTGCCTCTTTGGAGGCATGTAAAAAATTGCACAAAATGAATGCACTTGATGATCATCTTCTTCCTTTTTTTGAAGAGCCACTAGGGACTAGTACTGCTGGGATCAATAAGGAATATGCTGCAAAAGCAGGTAAATTTCTGTCTCCCTAGTTCTTAGTGGTACTTCTACCGCTCTGTCTTACTTTTCTATACTTTTCAAAATTTCTCTTTCTCAAATTTGGAGGAGTGAGTCTACCTATTCTGATTTAAATAAATGTCTGATGAGATCACCGAGGAGAACAACTTAAATTAAGGTGGAAATGAATCAATTATATTCATCATACACAAATAATGTGGCAACTAGTGTGTCCATTAGTTGGTGCTTTTGCATTTGAGTGAAGCAACTGGTTGTTGGATTAAGTATATCATCAAATTCGGAAGTTGAAATATCTTTATGTAGGGCTATTGCTATCTTGAAACGGAGCTCCTCATAGAACATCTTTATCATCTTGTGGTAAACATTACTTATTGGGTGGCAGCCGCTTTTGTTGAAAATGAAGGCTGAAGAGCTTTCGGTGGGAGGTCAAAAATGGGCAGAGCCGCAGTTGTTGACATGGGGAGCCGCTGCAGCCACATTTGTGGACGAAGAGAGAAAGGGAAGCCGAATGATTTGACCAAAGGGGGGATTGAATAAAGCCCCCTCCCCTCTCTTCCTCTGATGATCCCAATCAGATCCATCAGAAGCTTGAGAAATAATTAGTCTTAAGCAGAGTTTAGAGAGTGATTAGGATTTGGTATTTGGGCAATTTTGTGTGAGAGATTGAGAGTAGAGGAAAAATCTAGAGTGATTTGTTTGTGAGATTATTGAGTGATTGTAATCTCTATTTGTATTCTCCCTCTCTATTAGTGAGATCTGTCCCCTCCTTGCCCCGTGGACGTAGGCATATTGCCGAACCATGTAAATTTGGTGTCTTGCCTACTGTGGTACTTGTTATTTATCTCGTTTGTGATTTTTTTCGGTTCCGCTGCGCACAACTAGTGGTATCAGAGCTCCGGTTAGCTTAGGGTTCGATTTGGAGGATTGAAGGAAAAAGCTAGGGTTTTTATAAGGGGTTTCATCTTCCAAGGAGTGGTGGAGAAATCAATTGGAGGATTCGGTGCGGATTCTCGTTTGGAGGTACAAACCCTAATTTTGCTCTTTTTCGATTCAAGTTGTAGTTGTGTAATTTGGAGATTAGATTGAAAATGACCGAAGCAAGTACATCGGGATCGTCCTTGACTAAGGCGATACAAGGGTTGAGCATTAATAATACAAAAAATGATGTTTAAAAATTTGATGGCAAGATAAATTTTAGATTATGGAGGTGTCAAGTGATGGATATATTAGATACCCAAAATTTGGAGGAGACTCTTGAATTATAAGAGAAATCCGTTGATATGGAGGAAAAGGTTTGGAAGAAAATAAATAGTAGAGCATGTGGGGTTATTAGATCATGTTTGACGTCGGATTTGATTTATGATGTAATGAATGAAACATCGGTGGAACGGTTGTGGGAAACACTCAATGAGAAATATTTGACGAAGAGCATTGAGAATAGGCTTCATTTAAAGAAAAGGTTTTACCAATTCAAAATGAAGAGATGAGTTTCTATTAGAGAACATGTTAATAATTTCACAAAATTGTTATCGGATATGGTCAATGTGAATATCATGGTAGAGGATGAAGACAAGGCGATGTTGTTATTATGTTCATTTCCAGAGGATGATTATGGTACCTTTGTCCTTACAATGATTAATGATAGAACCACTGTCAGTTATAAGGAGGTGACCTCAGCATTGATTAATTATGAGTTGAGGAAGAGTGATAGTGAATTCTCCGAGAAGACATCGGGAGATGCATTGGTAGTGAGAGGCCGTAGTCCAAACCACCGTCCATTTAATCACTCAAAATCGAAGCCAAGAGGGGCACATCCTACAGTTGGTAGGAATCAGTGTGATTTTTATAAAGAGAATGGACATTGGAAAGCCGAATGCCCAAAGTTGATAGATCGAGCCGGGAAGAATAAGAAAAAAACTGTACAAGCTTCAGAGGTGAATGTTGTCAAGTCTAGTGGTAATAATTCAGATTCGGATTCTTCAGGCTACATGTTAGCACTACCGTCAGTTTGTGTTGTCGACTCTACAGAGTGGATGTTGGATTCAGGTGCTTCAAACCACATTTGCCCTAGGATGGATTGGTTCTCCAGCTTTCAGGAGTTGGAAAGAAAGGATGTTGTGCTCATGGGTAATGATCACAAATACCCTATTGGTGGTATTAATACCGTTCGTATTCGGATAAGTGACGGGGTGATTAGGGAGTTAGTTGAAGTGAGGTTCGTTCCTCAATTGAAGAAGAATATCATTTCACTTGGAGTATTGGAGGTAACAGGCTATAGGGTGACCTTGGTAGATGCACGTTTGAAGGTCACATTGGGGTCTATTATTGTGATGAAGGGCGTCAGGAAGAAGAATTTGTATTATTTGATTGGGAGCACAGTGATTGGTAGAGAGCTGACGACTTTTTTGGATTTGGCTAGAGTGTGGTGTTTGTTGAGGCTGGGATATTTGATTGTTAATGTCGTACATGGTTTGTTGAGAAGTGCTTTGACCTGCAGATTGAAGTCCTGTGAGCACATTGGTATGAGGGAGAAGACCGAAGTGGAGTTTGACACTTTTATTCATCGATCGAGAGGTTTTTTTAGGATGTGTTCAGTCAGGCATTTGGGGGCCTTCTAAGGGGGTATCATTGGGAGGTAATAGGTATGTAGTTTTCTATATTAGTGACTGTTCTAGGCATTGGTGGGTTGCAACCAAGTCTCGTTGGTTTGAAGTCCTAGTAGTCCACAACAGTTGAAGGAAGTGTGTTGACAGAAAGGTTATCTGTTGTACTAGTTCTAGTAGGGGTTTTTTCTTATATTTGTGCCGAGCTTATGGCAGTTGGAGACACTTCATTGGAGAGGAGACATTGAGACGACGAGATGAGATAACAGTTTTGATGGGTCGCTCTTTTCTGGAGGAGGATCGGTGTTGGTTGTCGAGCATTGGTTTTGTTTTTGAAACTTAGACATATTTTGGTCATCTTAGTCATAGGTTACCTACCGACTGCTGCATTTGGACATATTGGATCTGGTGGAGTTGTTTTAGATTTTGGTTGGCGTCGGATATTTGGTTACCCAATATTTAGTCACATTGAGGATGTGAGATTTGATCCGATTACGCGTTTGGGATTCAGAGGCTCATTTGATTATCGTTTGGGAGCTTCTGATTTTGTTCTGAGCAGGTATGTCACTTTTAACTCTCGGCAGGTGGAGAGTATTGATCATGTCGTTTGGATATCACAGGAGGTGAAGGGTGATGCTACTCCATATTAGGTGGAGATTACTCTACATACTCCAGATCATACTGTATTGTTTGGGATTCCAGCTGAGGTGACACAGTTTGGGGATCATTTGGTTTTGGATGCAGATGATGAGTTGGTTTTGGATTCGAGTGCAGCTGGTGGACATAGTTCGGATTTGGATATGACCGTTAGTTCACCTCAGGTTGAGGTGTTTGGTTCGTTTTATTTTGGGGCCACTGGGAGTGCTATCAGTCGCAGATTTGTTGGTGATGTTTGAGAAGAGTTGCGAACTCTTTTAGTTGATTGAGGGTCTTTGGAGGCCATTTGGGTGAATTACGTGAAGGCTTGATTCCTTGGCAAGAGGATACGTAGGCAGTCATTTTGATATAACCGGTTTGGTGAGTTGATACCAATATTTGGAGAGTGCTCACATTCTCGTTTGGGTTCTCGACTTGTTGTGGATTGAGTCCGTTGTCATGGTTTTGTTCCACTTCGTACTGGACACAACAAGTGAGACGTTTTGGTTGGTATTAGTGTCGGCTCAGTTTTGGGAAAACTTCGTCGAGGTGGAGATTATTGGGTGGTAGCCGCTTTTGTTGAAAATGAAGGCTGAAGAGCTTTCGGTGGGAGGTCAAAAATGGGCAGAGCCGTAGTTGTTGACATGGGGAGCCGCTGCAGCCACATTTGTGGACGAAGAGAGAAAGAGGAGCCGAATGATTTGACCAAAGGGGGGATTGAAGCCTATAAAGCCCCCTTCCCCTCTCTTCCTCTGATTATCCCAATCAGATCCATCAGAAGCTTGAGAAATAATTAGTCTTAAGCAGAGTCTAAAGAGTGATTAGGATTTTGTATTTGGGCAATTTTTTGTGAGAGATTGAGAGTAGAGGAAAAATCAAGAGTGATTTGTTTGTGAGATTATTGAGTGATTGTAATTTCTATTTGTACTCTACCTCTCTATTAGTGAGATCTATCCCCTCCTTGCCCCGTGGACGTAGGCATATTGCCAAACCACATAAATTTGGTGTCTTGCCTGCTGTGGTACTTGTTTTTTTATCTCGTTTGTGATTTTTTCGGTTCCGCTGCGCACAACATTATCAACCGAATATTAACATCGAGATATCATTAGTTCCTTTCTTGAAAGGCCCCTTACTTTTGGCAATACTGATACTGTAATCAATTGAAGAGATCCATTTAATAAGTTTTGCTGGTGATGCTGTCTACATATACGCGAGATGTATACTTTGGTGTATGAGAAATGAGGCAAAAGGAAATGTGATGAGAATACTTGTGGAAAACATGGAAGTAGAACGCAATACATGTAACATGAGTAGGAGATGGACATTCATTAATGTTTGTATCAGGAGAAGAGATAATGCTATATTGCTATTAGTGCTTATGCGCCATAAGTTGGATATATGATAACCTTAAAGGTAAATATGAGATGGATCTATTAATTGAGGGAATTCTTCGTGGAGAAAAAAATGTTTGTAGGATGAAACCCAAATGGTCATGTTGCTAAGGGAACAATGGATTTCAGCTGGTACATGGAAGGCATGTATATGTAGTGAAAAAATGAAATGAAAAACATGATTTTGGATAGCAAAGAGAGTTGGCATATGATGATGGAACTATGACTATGTAGAATGCTGTGTCTTTGTTCTACTGAGCAAGTTGTGGAGACCAATTAGTGTGCCAGGTAGGAGAAGTTAGAGAGATAGAAGCATATTTAATTGAGCAACAAGGGCTAGGCGATTACCTTATCATAGATGGAAATAAGTGGAAATGTGGAATACATATGTCTGCTCTTCTGTAAGAAAGTTATCCTTAACTGAATTGCACGGAGAAAAGGATTCATCTTGCCAAGGAAAAAGATTTAAGATTTTGTTGCTGTTACAATGTTAAACATGAAAATACAAGAAAGCTAAACATGCTCGGTCCTGGTATAAACATTTTCTTGTCATCTTTGACATATTATAATATAATACATCATTTGTGCATAAGCTTATATATACTATTTGACTAGAATTTTCTTTTATAATTTTTCCTTGAAGTAAGGTGTGAAGGATACAATTAAATTTGAAATCCCATTATCCTCGCCACCTCCACCACTCCTACCCACTTCCCACAACATGGCAGGAAAAACATAAACATCTTAGTTTTCCTGATATAAACGCTTTCTTATCATCCTTATCATATTCCGAAATCATGTGAAAATAAGATGGTAGGTATAATTTGAATTAGTTCTTTTAGTTTAATGTAGTTTGAAGGGTAAAATTAAATTACCACATTTAAAACCTCATCCCTATTTTTCTCCTCCACCCACCAAGCCAGAAGGAAAAAGAAAACAAAAAGGGACAAAATGAAGTAGAAAGTGTAAAGCCATGATTTATGTAAGAAAGGATAAAACATATTTAGGAGTAACAGTCGGTTGCTAAGAATAGACAGTGGGTGATATTTTGCTCTCCTAAAAATTAGAAAGTTCCAACTAAAGCTTATTGTATGAAACTTGAACAAATCAGACAAATCGCGCATTCCAAAATGGAGAAAAGAGAAGGAAAAGTACAGAAAAGATAGTAGTAAGAAGAAGCATACAGAAGATAGTGCACAACTACATTGCTAATCTCAAGAAATGATGGATCTAAGTAGTCAAGGAATTTCCAAAATCTTATCTTCCCTTGATCATGTTATAGCTTTGTACGTTTTAAATTCCTTATCTTATGTTTCTGCTTCTTCATTTCTTTGCCATACGGATCTGAATTTTGTTACCAAACCAAACATGACTTTTGTAGTTTCAGTACTTGGAGTTAAACTTATTACTTTGTTATGAAGTACAATTCAATGTTCCCTTATTGAACTTATATTTTAAAAGTGATTATAGAGTAATGTATCTTTTGTAAATTTTTAAGGAACAACTAAGAGAAAGGAGTTTCATGGGATCACACGTGCATGTGCTCTGTCAGGAACATGGGCTCATAAACCTGATAATGTTACATTGAATGCTTATGGGATAAAATTTGTTTGTGATCAAGAAGGTGAGAGTTATTCTGGATTTGTCCTTTTACTTGAGGCTTCGCTTGATAGTGATATAGCTGGAGCAGAAATTGAACTCTTCTTAATTCCTAACAAAGTGGTCAAGTCTTCCGTATTTCCATGCGGAAAGGTGCAACTGAGTGCGGATCAGGTTAGCAAAAAGTATCATTGGGAAACCTGAATATCTACTTACATGATGTAAAATTTTTATTCCGCTCACTGTTTATGTTCCTCTTAGGTGGAGAAATCAAAACTTTTCGAGGAATTCTTTTTCAATGGGATATTTGGGAAGTTGATTACTGGATCCAAATCATCAGGTATCCGGAGAGAATTCTTATTCAAAGAAGGAAAAAGACTATCATGGAGCTCCACGAATATTTATCTCCTTTTACCACTTGAGCCATCATCATCATGATACTACTTGCATCCACTGGAAGGGGGTGGATGCATGTTTTTCTGCAGTAAATTTTTTGAGAAACATATTTTACAGATGGTGAATATCATCCTTGGAGTCAAGGAGCACACATTCCAAGTTCAAATGGTAAAGAAAACAAGAAACTGGACATAATTCACCTGGCAAATAAATCTCTTTATACTCAAAATCTTAAAGAGTTGGTGGTTCTGGCCGTTCATACTGGACGATTATATTCTGTTCTTGATGTGTTGACTGATATGACTTCAGAGAGCCCATTTGATGAGATATATGATGGAAAAAAGTCACAATTCAATTCATTCATAGACTACTACCGTGAAAAGTGAGTGATTCTTTTTAACTTTTTGATTATTGCGTCTTTCTACAGTCCTCTTTTAGCTGACTCAATTAATATATACTTTCAAATTTGTAGGTACAACATTTCACTTCAACATTCAAGGCAACCACTTCTATTATTTAAGCAAAGCCATAATCCGCACAATCTTCTTTTTCAGAAATCAAAGGTTATAGGTCTGTGGTCTTTCTATCATATGTACACATTCCATAAAACTTTTATACCTTACATTATTTTTGAAGCATTCATATGTACACATTCCATAAAACTTTTATACCTTACATTATTTTTGAAGCATTTATGGATATAACTCATTGGAGTTTCTATTTTATTTGCCTACTGCATTGTCTGTTCTCTTTATTATTCTCTGAAAGACTGCATGATGAAAGAAAATGGATTCCCGTCCAGAAAATTTGATGATAACTGTATGAATTGCTCTAGCCATTAAGATATTCCTCATTTTCTTGAAAAGGTAATTTGAAACCTATAGAGGTAACTCCTACGAATCTGCAACTATTAAATTCACAAAATTTAAAGACCATTTGTTTAACTGACATGAAATGAAACTCGAAACCTCTAATCTTTATGACCGATAAGGTAGGTACTCATACCCCCAACAAAGACAGGTACAAAGATGCAAAGCTCAAATATGTTTGGGTCTTCACATGCATGTAAGTCTGTTTGTCCTTTTTTTCATTCATTTGGCATGTTAATATTGACATCTTACATGATTGAGTTGCCAAAATCAGTGTATTGTATGGTGCATGGTATTTTAGGTGTACAAATAAACATAAACCCATGATTAATCTTAAATACTGTCATATCATTTCAAGTACATCATGCAGTGTGTACTATCCAAACATGGACACTACTGTAGTATGAAACACCGAATCCAGCAAACATGAATTTGCATAATGATATACTAATGACCTCAAACCTAAAATATATTTTGTATATTTCAGTTTCAGATGGTTTTTTCTAGAGCACATATTACAAGTCCAATTAGCAAATAATATGAAGCATGATATTACAACTAATTTAAGCCTATTATTAGAATAGCAAGGTCCAAGACACTTCCATGTATACATCAGAAATTGAAATCATGCTACTTACTTGAGAGGATTTGCTATACATATTGCTGATTCGAAAATAATATGATTTTCAACATAAATTAACAAATAAGCTCTCAAGAATTCCCATACTAAATTTTGACATCTTCTATCTAGCCTCTTCTTTAGTCTAGAAGGGGTTTGCAGGGTTTCTTCTCATCAGACATCAGGTTTCATATAAGCTAGCTTGTCACCTCGTCTGGGCTCCTATATCTGTGTCTGGTACGTGTCCGACTTTGACACTTCTTCGACACTCTTTGACTATGCATATATATTTATTCAGACGTATACTCAGTTATAATATACATGTTAGTTTAAAACACTCGTCATACCTTTGTTTGACCTATATCTTACGCTACATGTCCACATTTTGCAACTAATTGGACATGGGTTATTTATTTCAGCCATACTTGATTCATAAGTATGGGCACACCGTGATCCACCTTGCCTTCTAGGTTTTTGACACCTTGCCCATATAAGCACAAAAATCATTTTAAGCTGGCAATCATCTCTTCTAGGTCTTCTACATTATTCCTTTACCACAATTCCCTTTTTCTTAGAGCACTGATAAAGCTAACCATTACATTCACAAACTATGCATAATAGTCTATAGAAAGCATAACTGATACCCACAAAGTTCCCTCGTACAACAAAAATATAGGCATTAAATATTTTAAGTCTCCATCACTGCAGGCGTCATTAAGTTCTAGCAATAAAGATCTAGAATTACACAAAAGGAATCATAGATGTGAAGAGCCTCCCTCATGTGATACTTTTCTCAATCACGATCTACTCATGAATTGGGAGGATAATATGAGGTCAACCCTCACCACAACTTCGAGTATTGGTGTAATGGTTAGGGACTTTTACATGGTATGGGATCAACCCAGGCTCAAATCCCACCACAAATTTAAAGTGGATTTTCTAAAATTGACACCGCTGTGTGAGCCCAGGTTTCGGCCAATGAAAAGGGCGCTTAGCCTAAATAGGCATGTTAGAATATAAAACTATTAACCCTCACCATAAATTTGGAGCTTTAGTGTAATGTTTAGGGACTTTGACAAAGCCAAGTATAATGTTCTCTCAAACTTTCCGTGGAGCCATCTTGTTTCAGAGTCTGCTAGTAGTTCAATGCCAAAACCAGCTTATAAGGTCATGGTGATAATGGTGAAGTCTATCATAACTAGTTGAAACAAATACCTTATTGGTCATTAGATTCAACATAGCATGTTTATTGTTTACACTAAATGCAAATAAGTCATCTAGCTTGATGTATCGTTTTGCAAATAAGTCATTTTACAGGGCTTGTTGCAACCGATATGGTCTCTGAATATCCTTTGCTGTTTTTTTGGCTATTTTGGGCAATATATTCCCAATATGGCCAATATATCAACGGATATGTTGATCGATATATCTTTTTATATAGCTAGTTGCAAAACGATACATCTCATTTGGCAATTTTTAGGTGAGATATCATGATTTTCCCATTATATCAAATGCCATTTTGCCCTAAAAAGATCAGATGAAATGTTGCAACATTGATTTGTACTTCTGCATGTTTGACAAGGTTGATTAGTGATCCTAAATATATATTATTTACATTTTGTATGCTTAGATTTCATTAAGTATGTTGAGATTACATTTAGTGCGTTATACCATATATACAAACATTCATTATGGCATTCCGATATTTACAATGTATCCCCGATATTTCCCGGATATTCGCAATCCAATATGAATTTTGACCATCCGATATTTCCCTGGTATCCGGTGTTTAAAACCTTGCTGTACATCAATATTTTTCTTCTAAAATAGTCATTTCAGATGTGTTCTCTACATCTTTCAAATGGTAAATTGGACTATATTCATACTAATTAAGGACTGGAATTTTGACGTTCATTTTATAAGCTTCTCGGTTTACATCAAAAAGTTCATGGCTAGTTTAGTCACTTAATGTAATGATTGACGAATTAGCATGATCTAATGTTGGTTTAGAAGTTTTTTCATGCTCAGTTTTAGTGGTGACATCAAAGGTCATGGTTGTTTTAATGATCGATGAATTAGCATAACCTACTGTTAGTTTGTTAGTTTGCTCATGCTCAGTTTTACACTTGACATCCAGGAACCTATAATTCATTTCTAATGATTCATTGAATTGTAGAATTACTTAATTACCATGGGTTAACCTAGTACTGAAAGATTTCTTGTGCAAAATTTTTGGATTAAACAATTAAGTTTTAATACTAAACAGACATAGCAAAACTACATTCTTCTCTTTTACAATTCCTATCATGTTATTCATGCATAATTCAATACTGCATACTGCAATACTACTTAATATTCATAGTCATTACCTTAAGCTGAAGGTATGTGACGTTAAACTGATGATCATGTATTTACATGCTAATAATGTGCATCTTTGCTGACAGATGGTTTGACTGGCCAAAGTTTTCTAATTGAGAAAGTACAAGTTCATGCTCACGTTCCACCAGAACTCCTAGTTCATGTTGATATTGTTGTGCGCGGCGGAAGCTTGAAACCACACGAACAAGAACGAGATAAATCACAACCAATAAGCCATACACAATACCACAGCAAGACAAACGAATTTTACGTGGTTCGGTAAGTTGCCTACGTCCACGAGGCAAGGAGGGGGGGTTCTTACTATTAGAAATCAAGAGAATACAAATAGGGTTACAAATCTCTTAAATAAACCCTAAAACAAAGCCTTTAGATCTCTCACAAATCTCCTACAATTGGATGCAACAATCCCCTCTCAAAGACTGCTCAAAACGTCCTTGCTTAAGCCTAATTAATTAGGATTAGATTTATATATCAACTCAGAAACGAAACGGGTTGAAAACCAAAACCCAGCTTAGACCCAACTCGCGGTCGACCGCACAACCACTCACGGTCGACCAGATCCAACGACCGAGACTAAAAAACCCTATAGGGTTTGGCCGGTCGACCGCAAAACCCATCGTGGTCGACCGCGAAAACGACAAAAACTTTCCTGAGTCTTTGGACTTTTGGCGATCAACCGTCGCGCCACTCGCAGTCGACCGTGACTTGATACTGAACAGAACTCATCCTCGTGCACATTGGCGGTCGACCGTCGCACCACACGCGGTCGACCGCACAGCACCTAAACCTGTTCCTTCGTCTTTTCCTACGGTCTTCGTCGCTGTGCTTGCCATTTCTTTAATTCTCCACCTGCGTTCAACACCCCCGACACGCGTCAACGCCCCTGACACGCGTCAATGCCCCCGACATGCGTCAACACCCCGACACGCCCCCGACTCGTTCTCGACACGGCTGGGATTTGCGAACAAAAAAGAAAAACTCGAAACCCAAACTCAAACCCTAATTTCTTCACTTACCAGAGTCCTGACTCCGCCACAATCCCTTCGTCTCTCTCTCTCGAGATCGGCTCCCCCCCCCCCCCCCTCGTCGGCACGTCGCTGCTAGGTCAGTCTCTCGATCTCTCTCTCCCGATCTCTTCGTCTCTCTCTCCCGATCTCTTCGTCTCTCTCCTGATCTCTCGATCTCTCGATCTCTTCGTCTCTCTTGACCGATCTCTTTGTCTCTCTCTAGATCTCTTCGTCTCTCTCTCTCTCTCTGATTCTCTTTCTCTCTCTGAATCCGTCTCTCTTTCTCTCTCTGAATATACATATGAAGATTATACTGTTTTCACGTGAATTTATTGTTAATTAAATTAGGGTTCCATTTAATTAGGATTATTGTTATATTTTAATTTACTATTTTCTGTTAATTTACTATTAATTAATTAGAGTTACATTAATTTACTGTTAATTAATTAGGGTTCTATTCTTTAATTTACTGTTAATTAGGATTTTAGTTACTGGTTTGCTATTGTTAATTTTTTAATTTACTATTATTGCTATTGTACTTTAGAGAAATGAAACAAGAAGGGAGTTCTAGTGATAGTGGAATACAAGATGACAAATGTCTGTTTTGAAAATATGTTACCAAATTGGAGAAAAGAATGGAACGACAGGAGGAAAGTGAAGATGAAGATATAATTATTGTAGAGAGGAGTTTACCGGTTCACACTCAAGAGTTAGAAATCACCTCTTGAGTATAAGCGGGACTAGAATTAAGATGTGTTCCAAGTTAACACCCGAAAACCTAAAGGAGTTTCAAAGAAAGTTCGATCAAGCGGAGGCGAGGTTGAGGGCTTCTTGGCCTAAGACTTTATCTTTGCCTACGTCTTCGACTGCAAGTACGACCGGTGTAAGTGCAAGTGCAAGCATGTTGAATCGTGCAAGTGAATCTAAGAGGAGGAGGAGGCCTAATACCGTGGAACAAGCATTCAACATGGGAGCAAGGGAGGAATTGGATGCATTGATTGGTAGGATGTTCTTCACCGGGGGATTGTCCTTCAACTTAACAAGGAATCCATATTATACCAAGGCTTTTACGTATGCCGTAAGCAATTCAATCTCTGGCTACAAGCCTCCCGGTTACAATTACATGAGGACTACTATCTTACAACGTGAGAAAGCTCACGTAGAGAGATTGATGGAGCCCATCAGGGGCACATGGCAATAGAAGGGGGTCTCCATTTGTAATGATGGGTGGGCAGATACACAAAGAAGGTCCATCATCAATTTTATGGCGGTATGTGAGGGTAAGTCAATGTTCTTGGGAGAAGTCAAGAATAAATATTTTATCCAAGCGAAGCTAGAAAATTGCATCACAGAGGTGGGACCGCAAAATGTCATCCAAATCATAACCGATAATGCTTCAGCATGCAAGGCCGCGGGAGGGCTTGTGGGGGGCACCTGGCCTCACATATTTTGTACTCCTTGTGTAGTCCATACACTCAATTTTACTATCAAGAATATTTGTGCGGCTAAGAACACGGAAGCAAATACCTTGGCTTATGCACAATTGCATTGGATTACATAGATCTCCGATGATGCATTGCTTTGAAGAATTTTATCATGAACCACTCTATGTGGCTTGCCATGTTCAATGATTATTCCAAGATGAAGCTCCTTTCGATTGCCGACACAAGATTTGCCTTATGGATTATTATGTTGAAGAGGTTTAAGGTCGTCAAGAGAGCCCTCTAAGACATGGTCCTTAGTGATCGATGAAGATTGTATACAGAATATGATGTGGATAAAGTTCAAATTGTGAAAGAGAAAGTCCTCGATGATTTGTGGTGGGACAAGATAGATTTTATTCTTGACTTCACTGGCCCAATCTATAAAATGATAAGGGTCACCGACACCGATACACCATGTCTTCATTTGGTGTATGATATGTGGGATACAATGATTGAGAAGGTGAAGCAAGCGATTTATAGACATGAAGGTAAAAGGGATAATGAGGAATCTCCTTTTTATGAGGTGGTTCACAAGATCTTGGTGGATCGATGGAACAAGAGCAACACCCTGCTTCAGTGCTTGGCACACTCTTTAGTTCCAAGGCAATATTTCATATTTCACTCTTTAATGCCAATATTTCTATTAATCAATACCTTGTGGGCTAATTCATGTTATTAACGAACATAGGTACTATCATTCCACATGGCTAAATGAGAACGTCAATCGGCAAGCTCCAAATCAAGATCTTGAGATCTCTACGGAAATAACAAAGTTCTTAAGAAGATACTATCCTAACCCCGATGAACGACGAGCGGTGAACTTGGAATATGCTAAGTTTGCGGGGGTTTTGGAGGCTTTTAGTGATTCGGATTCTCTTTTCGATAGAGGACATATGGATACAAAGTTATGATGGTTTCTTTATGGTCCAAGTACTCCAAATTTACAAGCATTGGCCGTAAAGCTTCTAGACCAACCTTGTTCCTCTTCTTGTTGTGAACGGAATTGGAGTACATATGGTTTCATTCACTCCTTAAATAGGAACAAGCTAAGCCTGACACGTGCAGAGGATCTTGTTTATGTTCACACCAACCTTCGCTTAATTTCGCGAAGTTCGGAAGAGTATATGGAAGGGGAATCAAGAATGTGGGATATTGGTGGAGATGCCTTTTGACTCATTTCAAGGTGCCGACATTTTAGATGTTGCTACCCTTTCTCTTGACGAGCCCACGATGGAGGCCGTTGTGTTTGAGGAGGATGAAGGAGTTGAAGCCATAGAACGATTTTTTTGATGTTTTAACTTGAAAACTTTATTTTAAGATACACTTTTGATTGTAATTTTTATATTTTTGCAATGTTAGTAACTTAATATTTTGTAGCCATAGAACTGGTTGCAACTTGATCTTTATTCTTTTGTAATTTTTATATGTTTGCAATGTTAGACTTGTTAGTAGCTTAGTATTTTGTGTTTGAGGATTATATTTTAGTTTGTTGTTTGAATTTTTTAGATTTATCTATATATAATAATAATATTAAAAAAATCTAGCCGTGTCATTGTGTCCTATTTTTTTTGGGTTTTGTCGTGTCCGTATCCGTGTCGTGTCTATGTCGTCGTGTCCTTGTCCGTGCTTCATAGGTTCAAACTCCTTAGATTCTGTCATTTATTGGATTTATCTAAAGTTACGATCTTAAGTAAAAACATGGATTTTAGGATTGTATATGCGAAGAAATAGTGTGGCGGTCTTTACAATGAGATCACATGTTGCCCTTAATTGGCTCATATCAATATATTTCACGATCATATTGGATTTAACTATGCTGATGAGATGCACCCAAAAATCGATTAATACGGTGATATTGGTTAATAACAACTAATAGAGGTTGATGGTTGATATGAACAAATATAAGATATGGGTTTCGGAATTTACTTTACAGTGTTATGATGGGGAAATAACGGAAAAAAGGAAATCAACGACAGAAGCTTGTCATTCACCAAAATCTATGAAATTATCACTAAAATGAGACTGATGCAAAAAGTAGATTACCCCAGAGAGCCGGGAAAAGATTTGCTGGACATGGAGATGATATCTTCTTGCATTTATAGTTTTTATGAATTTAAAAAATTATTCATATATGTCAAATATTTGGTTCTTCCAGGTATTCTTGCTGTTGAGATGCAGAAAGTGTTGTGCCAAAAGCTGTGTCGAGGAACCAAACCAAACGCCGATCCAAGAGGGCCAAAACCAACCTAAATTATTGCACAAACAAAACACCAATTTTAACGTGGTTCAGCAAATTACCTACGTCCACGGGGCAAGAAAGGGGATGAGGTTTTCACTAATAGAGAAAGAGTACAAACTGAGATTACAACTCACTCGAAGGAACAAACTAATCTCACCAACAAGCTTTTAATCTCTCCAAATAAATCCCTAAACAAATAGCTCAGAAAATACCTCTTTTCTGTGCTCCAAATATCCCCAATTTTCTTCTCCCAATTCTCTCTTCCAATTGTTCCATATATATAGAAATCCTAAAATCATAAACATACTAGGAATTTTAAACCAAACGTCAAATCAAATTTGGAATCCTAATAACCTATAACCAAAATAGATTAGGAATCCTAATAACCTCATGTTACCAAAATAGATTAGGAATCCGCTATCCAACAATTCTCCACCTCGGCGAAGTTTTCCCAAAACTGAGCCGACACCAACCAAACAAATGCCTCACATAATGAGACCCAAACGGGAGTGCGAACACTCACCCAAATGTCGGTATCTACTCACCAAATCGGCTGCATCAAAACTGACTGCCTACGTATCATCTTGCCCAATGAATCAAGCCTTCACGTAGTTCACTCAAACGGCCCCCAAAGGTCCTCAAACAAATAGAAAAGTCTGCAACTCTTTCCTAATATTACCAACGGATCTGTAACTGATAGCAGTCCCAAACTGATACAAATCAAACACCTCCATCTGAGGTGAACCAATGGTCGTATCCAAATCATGTCCACCAGCTACAACCGAATCCAAAACCAATCCATTATCTGCATCCGAAATCAAATGATCCCCAACCTGTGTCACCTCAGCTGGAATCACAAATGATGCAGTATGATCTGGAGTATGTGGAATAAGTTGCTGCGATATCCAAATGACCTGATCAACACTCTCCACCTGCTGAGAGTCAAAAGTGATATTCCTGCTCAGAACAAAATCAGAAGCTCCCAAACAATAATCAAATGAGCCTCCGAATCCCAAACGCGCAATCGGATTAAATCTCACATCCTCAAAATGACCAAATGTTGGGTAACCAAATATCCGACGCCGACCAAAATCTGAAGCAGCTCCACCAAATCCAATAACTCCTAATGCAGCAGTCGGCGACCTATGACTAAGATGAACCAAATATGTCGAAGCTCCAGAACCAATGCTCGACAACCAACGCCGATCCTCCTCCAGAAAGGAACGACCCATCGAAACTGTCATCTCATCTTGTCGCCCCAAAGTCTCCACACCAATGAAGTATCTCCTATTACCGTGAGCTCGGCACAAACGCAAGAAAGGACCCCTACCAAAGCTAGAACAACGAGTTACCTTTCTGCCAATACACTTCTTCCAATTATTGTTGACTTCTAGGACTTTACATCAACGGGAACTGGTCGCGACCCAATAATGCCTAGAACAATCACTAACTGCGGAAACTACAAAACGATTACCTCCCAATGATGCCTCCTTGGAAGGCCCACAAATGCCTAACTGAACACCTCCTAAAAGACCCCTCGCTCGATGGATAGGAGTGCCAAACTCCACCTCGGTCTTGCTCATCACAATGTGCTCAAAGGACTTCCATCTACAGGTCAAAGCACTCCTCAATAACCTAGGCACGGCATCACCAATCAAATACCCCAGCACCAAACAACGCCATAATCTAGCCAAATCCAATAAAGTCGTCAGAGCTCTATCAATCACCGTGCTCCCAAGCAAATAGTATAAATTACTCTTTCTGTATAAGTTACTCTTTCTGACGTTCTTCATCACAATCATGGACCCAAATGTAACCTTCAAACGTGCATCCGCCAATGTCACCCTATAGCCTGCTGTCTCCAAAGCTCCAAGTGAAATGATGTTCTTCTTCAACTGAGGAACGAACCTCATTCCAACCAACTCCCGAATCACCCCGTCACTCATCCTGATCCGAACGGTACCAATACCACTAATAGAGCATTTGTGATCATTCCCCATGAGCACGAAATCCCCTCTTTCCAACTCTTGAAAGCTGGAGAACCAATTCCTCCTAGGACAAATATGGTATGTAGCGTCCGAATCCAACATCCACTCTGTAGAGTAGACAATACAAACTGACAGTAGTGCAGATAATGAGTAGCCTGAAGAATCCGTATTTGAATTGTTGCCACTAGTCTTGACAATATTCACCTCTGAAGCTTGTACAACTTTTCTCTTATTCTTCCCGGCTTGATCATTCAACTTTGGGCATTTAGCCTTCCAATGTCTATCTTCTTTACAAAAAGCACACTGATTCCTACGAATTCCAAGATGTGCTCCTCTAGAATGTGACCTTCTACCTCGGTTTGGACCCTTTGCTCTTGCAACCAATGCTTCCGCTACCGGCTCAATAGAAGTCGCATTGTCCTTCTTCCTGAGTTGGTAATTCACTAATGCAGCGGTGACCTCACTATATAAAAGAGATGATTTCTCATTAATAAGAGTAAGGACAAACGTCTCATATTCCTCGTCGGGCAAGGAACTCAACAATAGCAACGCCTTGTCCTCATCTTCAACAATGACATCTACATTTGCCAAATCTGCAAGAAGCTTTGTGTAGTGGTTCATGTGATCACTAATGGATGTCCCCTTCTTCAATTGGAAGCGATAAAGCCTCCTCTTCAAATGCAAGCGGTTTTCAACGCTCTTCGTCAAGTACAAATTCTGCGTATTGAGCGCATCCAAGACTTCGCATCGCCAAAGTCCAAAATTGTTAGTGCCATTGAACTTCTCCACGTCAATCTTCATCGAGTGGATACTCAAACTTTGGACAGTCTTCACACCTGAAGAACTACCCTCAACCCCCTCTTTCTCGGCCATAATCCTCAACACACCAACAACCAATGCGGAAACAAACGAAGAATAGATCCAAAACTGAGAAAAGAAAGAAGCTTTACCGAAAAGATCCCACATTTCTCACCAACTGAAACCCTAGACGAGCTTCCCAAATCGATCTACTCCTCCAAATAGCCCAAGCGTAGCCCGAGCTCTGATACCAAATTGTTGTGCTAAAAACTGTGTCGAGGAACCAAACCAAACGCCGATCCAAGAGGGCCAAAACTAACCAAAATATCAATGCATAAGCAAAACACCAATTTTAACGTGGTTCGGCAAATTGCCTACGTTCACGGGGCAAGAAAGGGGATGGAGTTTTCACTAATAGAGAAAGAGTACAAACTGAGATTACAACTCACTCGAAGGAACAAACTAATCTCACCAACAAGCTCTTAATCTCTCCAAACAAAACCCTAAACAAATAGCTCAGAAAATACCTCTTTTCTGTGCTCCAAATATCCCTAATTTTCTTCTCCCAATTCTCTCTTCCAAATGTTCCATATATATATAAATCCTAAAATCATAAACATACTAGGAATTCTAAACCAAAAGCCAAATCAAATTAGGAATCCTAATAACCTATAACCAAAATAGATTAGGAATCCTAATAACCACATGTTACCAAAATAGATTAGGAATCCGTTATCCAACAGAAAGGTGGTCCTCGAGCTGCTTTATTCAAGCTTTGCAGGAAATACCAATGGCCAATGCCAAAATTTGAATTGTCTGAAGAGAAGTTCAGGTCAATAACTGTCTGTTTTAACTTGTATGAAAGCACCTTTTGTTTATCCCTTTAATTCTCTTTTAATTCTTTGGTGCATTTTTGACAGAAATCCTATCATTCTTAATGGTGTGGAAACACCGAATTTCAACGTGTTCACATCACGTATCACGTTGCATATACCCAATACTGAAGTTATTGAACTCATTGTTGATCCAAAAACGGACAAGAAGACTGCAAATGATTCATCAGCATTTGTAATGCTTCGGGAGCTTCAGAAAAGAGGAAGGTGTTTTCTTGAAGAACAGTAACAGTTTTCACCACAAAGAAAAATGAAGAAAGATTGAATTATACTTCAGACCAACTGCTACAGATTGGAACAGACCTGAAGAAGGCTTTGGTTTTAGACGGTTGTAAGTGTTTCATTCTGTTATTTTCACGTGCATAAATAGAGTAAAGCATCTCTATACATAATTTGAATCTCATGGGACCATTTGTTATCATGTTAATGTTACGACGATAATTACAATTTCCAGTTACTAATGCACACTCTTTTGTTTCTGCTCATCAAAACTCTTATCATGTTTATCTATTTACGTGTATGCCTTCTGTATGCTCTTTTTTACATGTATGCCTTCTGTACACAAATCATGAACATCGCAATTGTCAAAAACAGATTTAAAGATATTTGATATCTTCATATCATCAAGCAAATCACGGTCTCCGGCCATTTCTCTCCAGCAAGCCTCCAAGAACTACTCTCTTCTTATATTCCTCGGATTCCAGATCCACGTTTTCATCATTTTTCGTATATCCGTTATCTTCTTTCGTTGTCGGTGTCCCCCTCAGAAGAGGGAGGACATAAAAGCACGCACACAGACACATAACTGCACAAACACGGCCACATACAAGCATTGTGGCCAATGTGATTCCAAGCACTAGTAATCCTACTGTAGGATCAAGTTTTGCATGTCGGTCTAGTTCTGGTTTGGACGAACCAGTTTCTTGTGTTCTTGTTGTGGTTTGGACTGGTTCAGGTCTCGATCTGGCTCGTGGTCTGCTCGAGTTGTACTTGAATGAGATTTCTGGGAGGCTTGTGATTTGTGATACAGTGTTGGTGCGGGCTTGTAGCCGTTGTTCCTGTTGTTGGATTTGGGGTTTGAGCTTGTGCTTGTTTCTCTTAGCCTGCAAGCACCAATTCATGTTGAAAATCTAAGTATCGGAGCCCGCAGAAGCTTCCAAGAGAATTCTAAGAACTAGCAAATGTCTAAACCTGTGGTCAATATTTTGAATGGACACTTATCATTAGATAATAAAACATCGCCACCATGCAGCATGACTGTTAATATTGTAGACTAATTGAAGTTCTAGATTAACCAGACCCACCAAAGGCTGCTAATCTCATTGTTTGTGAAACGATAGAGATTGATGCCTACATTTATTCTATTGTATATGATTAAGGGTTAATTGCACAACGACCCCTATAATATGGATGTTTTGAAGTTACTTCCCTTTCCGTTTCATTGTTGCATAAAGACCCCCCTGGTTTAGCTTCTGATGCAAATTTAAACCAGAGAATCTTTTTGAAACAGTAGAATTAACAACATGGTAGAGGTAGTAAGCTCAGATCATCGATACTACAACGGGTCTCTGTGCAATTAACCCTCTAATTAATCCCCTAACTAAGAAAACTCATGTGGAGTAGAACTACCTTTTGGCTTTGGAGTCTGTCCTTGTTTTCTTTGCCTGAAGGAGTACTAGATTCAGCGACATCGACGACAACATGCCCTGCCTTCTTCTTCTTCTGCGCCTTCTTCTTCTTGCTATGGAACGTCGACCGAGAGAACCATGATCTATTCTCCCTCTTGAGCTCGAGCTTTGAATCTAAAGCTGACTCCAATTCATCAGACTCATAGACGGGCGAGCTTGAGAAACAAGAAGATAGGCATGAACTTCTTCTTTTGTTTCTAGTTTCATTAGGAGCCTCTAACTTTGTCGACATGCTACTTATATGAAAAACAATGAGGAGGACAGAGAGAGAAAGAGGATTTGTGAGGATTTTGGATGTCAATGTTTTAGTTATAGCTACTATCTAACATCTTCCTTCTTTTGACTAGTAGCAACTCCCTTAAGACTTCAACTAATACGTTAATTAACAAAAGACGTGGATATTTTGTGTAAAGCACCCTCAGCTTAATTGTACTTTTTGTCTGTCCTGAGTCCTTTGTACTTAAGTAGGTATATATGGATGGTAATTATATATTGAATATGTGACAATTGGATAAACTTAATGTTGGTTTTGGAAGTGTGAAGACCGGAACCTGAAACAAATCCGCAAGGCTGAAAAATCTCGGGTCAGTTGACCGACGGAGGAGATCCGGTCGATCGAATCGACTGCAGGAAAACAGCCCAGGAAACTCACTCTAGCCGGTCGACCGAAAATTTATGACGGTCGACCAAGAGTGGTCAACCCAGGAAACTCACTCTAGCCGGTCGACCGAAAATTTATGACGGTCGACCAAGAGTGGTCAACCGGTCGACCGACGCTAGGTCACCGGTCGACCGAAAACATGCACGAAGACCCTGTAAGAAACTGTGTTCTGGCCGGTCGACCAACACCCATGGTCCGGTCGACCGCAGTCAGTTTTTCTAGTTTCCTAAATCTTTTGGGAATCTGTTTTGGGCTGGAATACTATATATACTTTGATATTTTTTAGGGTTTGTAGAACATAAAAAACAAGGGTTTTTGACGAAACTTTGAGATCGGAGATCTTAGAGAGAGAGAAGCCTATTGTGAGCATTGTAATCTTCTTCAATTAATCAAAGAATTGTGTGATATGGCTCTCGAGGATGTAGGCACGTTGCCGAACCTCGTTAAATCTGGTGTGTTCCTTCTTGTTTATCTTTCCTATAATTTTTCTTTTATTTGCGGTGATTTTTCTACTTGTTAAACTCTTAGCACAAGATCCGGAAGGACATAGGTTCGATTGATTCTTTCAAATCCCCAATAACTGGTATTAGAGTTTCGTTCAAAAGATTTATGTGAGAGCCATGGCAGAGGAAAGCAAATCAAAGATCGAGAAGTTTGACGGATCAGACTTTGCCTACTGAAAGTCACAGATGAAGGACTATCTATACCAGAAGGATCTTTACCGCCCATTGATGGGCAAAGCTAAGGGAAAGAAGAATGAGGAATCAGACGAGGACTAGAAAATATTGGATCGAAAGGCTCTAAGACAGATCCGATTGTCGCTCGCCAAATCGGTCACCTATAATATTTTGAAGGAGAAGGTGACAGTGGGGCTTATGGAAGCGCTCACGAAGATGTACGAGCAACCATCAGCCGCAAACAAGGTACATCTCGTTAAAACACTCTTCAACCTCAAGACAGCAGAAGGATGCTCCTTCACGATGCATCTCTGCGAGTTCAACGCGATTGTTGATCAACTTATCTCCGTGGACATCACGTTTGATGATGAAGTGCAGGCCCTATTGATTCTATCATAGTTGCTGGATAGTTAGGCAACTTACGTGACCGCAATTAGCAATTCAACAGGGAAGGAGAAATTAAAGCTGAGCGAGGTTGTTAGCATGATTCTATCCGAGGAGGTTAGAAGGAAATCGTCCGAATCAGAAGGTTCATGTTCATCCTTAAATCTTGACCAGAGAGGCCGAAACCAGAAGAAGAGAAACCAGAACAGAAATTGGTTGAAATCGAAGAAGAAGATGTCGAACTCGAAGGTTAGGCCTATCAAAGAAAAGTGTTGGAACTATGGCCAGGAGGGACATATGTCTTCAGTCTGCAAAGCGCCAAAGAATGATGTGTGAGCAGGAGGCTCACATCGTGCAAGATGTCTTGATCCTTGCTATGGACAACGATTCCGATTCTTGGGTTATTGACTCGGGAGCCTCATTTCACGCCACTGCTAATAGGAAGCTTCTTCAGAACTATGTAGCAAGGACTTTGAGAAAGTGTACTTGGGGGACAACGTGCCTTGCAGTATTGTTGAAAGAGGTGACGTGCAGATTCAGATGAAGGTCTCTAAGTGGAATCTGAAGAACGTCAAACACGTACCAAAATTGAAGAGGAATCTTGTTTCGGTGGGCCAGCTTGGAGCATAAGGCTATGTTTCAACATTCACCGAGGATTCGTGGAAAATCTTTAACGGTACTATGATGGTTGCCCGAGGCAACAAAATAAAAACTCTTTACCTCACTTCACATGTGAGTGACACCCTCACAATTACAGTTGGCAAGGAGAGTGCAGATCTATGGCACAATAGGTTGGGACACATGAGCGAGAAGGGTATGAAGATTCTACACTCACGGGAAAAGCTAACCAGCATCAATTCAGTTAAAGTTGATGTTTGAGAGCATTGCATCTGCGGGAAGCAGAAGAGGGTCAGCTTTCTGAAGAGTGGAAGACCATCTAAAGCTCATAAGCTAGAGCTTGTTCATACAGATGTATGGGGCCTAGCTAGTGTGTCTTCTCTTGACGATTTGGCGTACTATATCATCTTTATTGACGATCACTCGAGAAAGGTGTGGGTATACTTCGTGAAGCATAAGTCAGAGGTGTTCGGGATCTTCAAGAAGTGAAAAGCCATGGTAGAGAACGAGACAGATCTGAATGTGAAGTGTTTGAGATCAGACAATGGTGGAGAATACGAGCTGGAGGAGTTCAAGAGGTTCTGTGCACTAAATGTGATTCGTTTGGAGAGGACTACTCCAGGGATGCCGTAACAGAATGGCGTTGTAGAGAGGATGAACAGGACATTGACAGAGCGTGCAAGGAGCATGTGTTTACATGCATATCTACCTAAGATGTTTTGGGCAGACGCGGTGCATACAACAGCTTATCTGATTAATCATTGGCCATCAGTTCCATTGGATTTTAGGATTCTAGAAGAGGTTTGGAGTGGCAAGAAGGTTAATCTCTCATACTTGCGAGTATTTGATTGTGTGGCATATGTTCATATCAGTGACCATGTCAGGGAAAAGCTAGAAGCTAAGTCACAGAAGTGTACATTCATTGGATATGGCATTGATGAGTTCAAGTATCGTCTTTAGGATGAGAAGAATAGGAAAATCATCAGGAGCATAGATGTGATATTCAATGAGGAGATGATGTACAAAGACAGAGACAATGCTAAGGATAGCCAAAGCAGTGGGAGCAGCACTACGGATGCAGGTGGATCCGAGTTTATGGATTTGGAGGAACTTCCAGATGGGGGCGAAAACGTCAGTTCTGACAGAAGAACGGAGGAGACTCTAGGTGCAGAGACGACTACCCGGGGCGAGAAGCTTAGGAGGTCATCCAGAGTACCCAAACAGAATCCCAGATATCTCTCATCACTAGATTATTTGCTTTTCATAGATAGCGGAGAACCAGAGTGCTATGAGGAGGCTATGCAAGTTAGTGAATCTCAGCAGTGGGAGTATGCAATACAAGAAGAGATGAATTCTATACACTCGAATGAGACATGGGAGTTAGCCCAGCTACTTGTACTAAAGAAAGCCTTACATTACAAATGGGTCTATCGGGTCAAACAGGAGAGTGATGGAAGCAAGAGGTACAAGGCCAGATTAGTCGTGAAGGGGTTCTAACAGCAGGAAGGAGTGGATTATACGGAGATATTTTTTCCCGTTGTGAAGCTTACAACCATTAGAGTGGTGTTGAGCTTAGTAGCTGCAGAAGATCTCTATATTGAACAGTTAGATGTGAAGACTGTATTTTTTCATGATGACTTGGATGAAGAAACCTACATGAGGTAACCTGTTAGCTTCATTGAGGAAAAAAAGGAAGAGATTGTGTGTAAGCTCAAGAAGAGCTTGTACGGTTTGAAACAGGCTCCGAGACAGTGGTACAAGAAGTTCGATAACTTCATGCAGAGCAATGGCTATGAAAGATGCAATTCAGATCATTGTTGCTACTTCAAGAGGTTCGAGTCCATCTATATCATGTTATTATTGTATGTTGATGACATGTTAGTTGTAGGACAGTGTTTAGAGGAGATAAACAAATTGAAGAAGCAATTGGTGAAGGAATTTACTATGAAGGATCTGGGTGCAGCGAAGCAAATTCTTGGGATGCAAATCAGTAGAGATGAAGCTGAAGGGACGTTAAGTTAAGTTAAGCTAAATACATCGAGAATGTACTTCAGAGGTTCAACATAGAGAATGCTAAGCCCGTCGGCATGCCCCTTGGAAGCCAGTTCAAGTTATCTGAGGAGCAATCACCCAAGACAGATGCAGAAAAGGAGCACATGAGCAGAGTGCTGTATTCATCAGCCATTGGTAGTCTTATGTACGCGATGGTTTGCACGAGATCGGATATCGCACATGCAGTGGGAGTTGTGAGCAGGTTTGCAAGCAATCCAAGGAAGCAGCATTGGGAGGCCGTGAAGTGGATATTGCGTTACTTAAGAGGGACTACGAATATACCATTGTGTTTCAAGAGGAAGGAGTTAGTACTGTGGAGATATGTGGATGCATATTTTACCAATGATCATGATACGAGGCGAAGCACCACGGGGTATGTTTTTACCTTAGCATCGACAACAGTGAGTTGGGTCTCACGTTTGCAGAAGATAGTAACATTGTCCACGACAGAGACAGAGTATGTCGCAGTGACTGAAACCAGCAAGGAGATGATTTGGTTGACCGGGTGCCTGGAAGAGTTGGGTTTGAAGCAAGGGAACGGAGTTCTTTATTGTGATAGCCAGAGTGCTATACACCTTGCTAAGAATCCAGTATATCATGCCAAAACGAAGCACATCGACGTACGTTACCACTTCATACGCTCGCTGATTGAGGATGACAAGTTACAGCTAGAGAAGATTTTGGGGAGTCAAAATCCTACAGATATGTTGACTAAAGCAGTGATCATTGACAAACTGGAGTTGTGCGCAACTTCAGTTGACCTTCACGCGTAGGAGTCGAAGGCGGAGCCACGCTAGGAGGATCAGTGGGATCGTCGAGATGATGATGATTGAAGAATGT